CTATTCATTTCTCGTGTCAGATCCTTGTGATGTACTATCAAATAAATAAATAAATAAGCAAATAAAGGGCCAAGATTCATGAGTATGTAGGTCACGAACTGATCTCAGTATGTTTTCGCCCATGAATACACTATTTCCTATTCGGTACGCGGTATTTGGTGTTAAATTGTCCCGATTTTCAGTGCTCGAGTCCGAGCTGCAACAAGCTTCCAACCCATACGGTCACGTGCTCGTATCATGGTTGAATCAACAAGCATTGAGCAGGATAGGGAGGTACTCATGGACAGGTAAACATTATACTCATGTTTATTTGTTTGTTTGTTGACATGACATGATATGTTGTAACATGACAGTTAGTCAATGTATAATATAAAAGGAACACTAACATAGCTACAAATTCAAATTATCATAAGATAACACAACAAGATTTAAAAAAATTGATCAGAATCTCAATAAAATGCTGAGAAAGGGAGAAATAGTAATATAAAAAAAAGAACAAAACAAAAATAGTAAAATAAAGACAGCTACATAGCTGACGTTCAGGGTTGCTGAGACTTCCCGGTCTCTGTTTGGACCCTGAACGCCCTATCAACCCTGAACGTCAGCTATATAGCTGTTTTTATTTATCTCACTATTACCTTGAGTGAGAGCTTATTACCTTTACTGAGTTTGGCATACTCCGAGGTGGATCTCTGAGTGAAAAGTGTCCAACTGGCTCGAAGTCAATTACAAAACGTACTCCTCCTCTCCGTAATGCCAGTAATAAAAAAGAAGGAATTTAGATGGACGGCCACCTATCACTAAGATATGCTATACTCCATACTTCAGGCTTCGACTTAATAAACGCCTTCGAAATGAGGCATTGACAGCAAGCGAAGAGCTCGAAATCGTTTCTCCTGCGGTCGCCGAATTTCGACGTAGCATGGGACCGGTTGTATGTTTCAATTTGAAGTAAAAATTTTTGTAGCTGAAAAGCTCTAAGGTGTGAGTTCAGAGAATGTATGTAGACCTTTCAATGTTAAGCCTGTAGATCGGGCAATTATGATTCCACAAAATTAATACTTCAGCAATCCCAATAATTATTTCCACTTATCGAAATATTTAAAAAAGTTTTTTTACTTTAGGATCCCAACCGTGCATTCCTTGAATGCTGTATGGACAGACAATTACCGGATGCTTGTCTTGCCAAATGCAACTTCAGAACGTACACGAAAGAAGCGGTTAGTCCTCGGTCTGATTTGCATAAAATACACCATTATTAGATTATTTTATACAGTTCCCAGCCCTAATGGAATGCAATACAGTATTCTTCAATTATTTCCATTTTGGAGTGTATTTACTTTGTTTTGGGCTTCAGGAAATCCAAAACACATCTTCTGCTAGAAAATATACTCTGGGAATTCTTAGAATGCCTTTGCACACGACATACAAAAATTGAGTTTTGATGAAAATACTACTAATTATCAGCAGTTTTCCTGACAGCAACCTGAACCATTATGAAATATTAGGACACGCCACCGATTCGACTCCTATTTCCGAATGTGCAGTTTTCGGAAATAGGGAAACTGTCAGGAACAGCGGTATGTATGGTCNTCTTGCCAAATGCAACTTCAGAACGTACACGAAAGAAGCGGTTAGTCCTCGGTCTGATTTGCATAAAATACACCATTATCAGATTATTTTATACAGTTCCCAGCCCAAATGGAATGCAATACAGTATTCTTCAATTATTTCCATTTTGGAATGTATTTACTTTGTTTTGATCTTCAGGAAATCTAAAACACATCTTCTGTAGAGAAATGGAAAATTTTTAACTCCCATATTAACTAATAAACCACGGAGAATAAACACCGGGACCAACCTTTTTTCGAATCCTTTTGTTTTTTATTCTAGAAAATATGCTCTGGGAATTCTTAGAATGCCTTTGCACACGACATACAGCGGTATGTATGGTCTGGTGCGAACCTTAGGGGGATGGGGTGGGGGTAATATTTAATTCAAGACTTTCTAAGACTGACAGCGAATATCGTCATGACTGGGGAAAACAGTAGCATCCCTGACAGTAAGAGTAGGTTGCTAGTGAGTTATCGCTCTTTTTCTGAGTTTTTTTTTTGGTATTTCTGTTCAAATCATTCTTCTGACAGTCTTTAGATGGAATGATTGAGTCGTAGAGGGATTTTTCTGTGGCTAATAGAAAACCTATTACAGTTATCTGCGATGTACTTCAAGCAAGATCCATGTCCTTTGGAAGCGATGAAGGAAATGCAGTTCTGTGCTGCTCAAGGAGCGTGAGTGCGATTGTTCCTTCTCAACTTCTCTTTCTGAGATAGCCTGGTCTTACAAAAAAAAGTGTGGGGGACGGGGTAGAGTAGGGGCTGTTTGACAAGAGAGGGTCAAGAATTGAAGTATCGAGCTAGATTTTTTAGCAGAAGAGGATCTTAGTGGGAGATTCCTTTGCGACTCCTTGCTAAATGCCTCGCAGCGCCACGTGCCGATTTGTGGCTAACACTCATCGCTCTGAAAACGGATAGGAGAATAGGATAAGTACCGATTGGGTATGATTTCAAAAAACTCCGAAAATCAGGGTATCCTCTATTCAAATACTACACCTGTTAGGTTTGTGCACCATGGGAAAGCAGAGGACTGCACTGTCTTACCATTTCCCAAAAGAAACAGAGTAGGATCGATTCGAGCTTCACCGATCGATACTTATTTACTTATTTAACAACAAAACCTTCAGGGACCACTCCGAATGCTGTGCTCGTAATGGAGTCACAACAACTCTCGCTGGCATGAAATGCCTCACATTCTGTGATCAACGACTAGGTCAGAATTACCAGAATTTTTTGATTTTTTATGTTTAGAGTCACTTTTGAGGCCGTGTACTGTAATACGGTACAGTAGAAACTGTAGTTTCGTTTCAGGACATCCCAAACAACTGGATATGTCATATGTTCCGTGTTTCGACCGTTTCGAAAATATGAAAGCGTGCTTTTGGCACGATCTGACTCGCTATTATAGGCTGAAGTAGAAACCTTTGCAACATGATCATCGCTCAGGCTTTTTCACTTTGCTGGCCGGAATCTCACTGCCTTTTATTGTTAGCCCTTATAAAATAGTTTGCTTACAATTGTATAGTTTTGCGTTTTTGGGTTTATTCGAACCATAATAAACCGCTTGAAAGGAACAGAGTTGTAGAGTTGACAAAGGTGATAATGGTCGTCTCTTCGAATGCGCCATGCACTCGACTTCGTTCATAATTGCTGAGATATTTGATTGTCTGAGATGAGCTTTCGTGAAGACTTCGGAAGTGAAGTGGGAGGTGCGAAAACGAGAAGATGCGTTGAAAAAGGTAATGGTTTCATTCATGTGGAAACTCCCGGTGCCAATCATCGGATCTGGAAGATTTGAAGCTCTAATCACGTCAGTTCGCGAGTGGACAGCCCTAAACGGGAGCATTCGTTCCTACCAACTGGGTGGCTATAGGTTCATATCCGGCTTTCTGATGAAGCGCCTCTTGAAATGTTTTGCCAGCTCATTAATATTTAATTATTTTTCTTAATTATTCATTTACTTATTTTATTTATGACAAAAATCAAAGTAAGGATGTTTAATGAGCACTTGGTCTGTAAATGTGTCATTACTTTGGGGAGAACTCAAGGTGATAATCACACGGATCTGAAATTCTGGCCCTACCTGTTTCTTTGTAGTGTGATAGAGCAACGACATCAGCTTACAAACCTATGAATGAAGATGATATTGAATATTTATTTCCTCTCCATAACTTCGTTGGTATAGTGGCAAGTGGCTCACTATTGAACACGCATTCATAGGATCGATTCCCGGGTAGGTACATGTCCAGGATACAGTCCAATCATGCGTTTCATCTCTTAATTAGTAGCAAACTCGTCTGAAAAAATAAAAGCACTGACTTGTACTTTGACAAGTCACTGTTATTCATTCCATAGGCTACATACGCATTCAATCGACACTTAGATTCGGAATGGAAGCCAGGTGCGGAATGGATCCCTGAAAACTTTATCTTTTTATCCTGAAGGCTCCACATGTTGTACCAGTCTGGCTCAATGCCGAGTTTTCTGTTGCCTGGCATTGGTGAGCTGAATTCATCAAGCCAATTCCGGTGAATTTTCAATAGCTGAGGACATGAAATTGGCTGGCAACGGGTCGTTCTTCTGGAATATTCAATTGCTTGGATTGTGTCAGCCCCATAAATTCACGCATACTTTTGGCGAGCATATTTCATCTACACGCCTCCATTGACGGCTGACGGGTAGCTATTGCTGAACTCACTAAACAATCAGCCCCTTCCTTTCACGATGGGTCCTCTCGCTCCTTTTAGTTCCCTTATATAAACTATTTTCCTGAAGCAGAAGTGTTTTGTGAAGTCAGAACAAAGTAACTAAGAAAAGAATTATCTGGATTGAATCAGACATTTGTACCTGATGGAGCAATCGAATAAGATTGAATGAATCGGCCAAAACAGTGGCGAAAAGATAAATTTTGGTGAAATTTTAGTTGAATTAGTAAAAGTAAAGGAATTCAAACAAGTTAAAAATGAAATTCTTCGAAGTAGAGGTAACCTAAAATTCAAATTAAACAAATTCACTAGATATTTCTAAAAATCTTGTTCACTTCTCGGGGAGTACTATGTTTTGACTCAATCTTCAACTCATCTGTAGTTTTTTATCAACCAAGATTGAGGTGGGTAACATAAAAATCAAGTGAGACATTACTATCAAAATCGCGACCTTTCATTTGCATTTTTGACTCGAAGTTGACTCAGGTGGCCACCTTCAATATTTCTTCAGAGATGCTGTTTTCCCAGGGTCAAGGGGAGTAAGAACTTCGAATTTTTTCGGAAACATGATTTCCACGTTCCAAAAGAGCTTAGCCACACTCTAAACTTCTGGCAAAAATCAAACTTTAGTGCATTGAGCGATATACTTCCCTGAATGATGCCAATTTTACCTTTCCTACGTCCCAGTATGTGGGTACAAACTTGAACTCAGAGTATAATCTTTTTCAAGACCTACAGTGTACCCTGTGTAACTGGGAAGTTGGCTAAGCTGCTTCTCCCAAAGTTCACATGTCCTGGATGGATCTTGCTCACACCAAATACATTTATGATGTATTTAGGAATTCATGCACTTTTTCCGGCTGAATTATTTCGAATTCATAAAAGACTGAAGGGAAGATGTCTGACAAATGGGTATAATGGTGGGACAGCATCTCCCTCTCTCATTTTGTCAGCCCTCTAGATTCACCTCATCACCCCACTGGGAGAGTACCACTGCTCACTGATTTTCGAATTCATCTCCTATCTCTTCATTAGTTCAGTTCACCTTTCCCAGGCCCTTTCTCACCTGCTCTTTTTCCAGAACCGTTTTTATTTCGCACTTTTTGTTATTTATTATTTTTATTATTATTTTTTATTATTTTTGTACTTTTGATTTTGTTATATGTTACTTCTCTTTTACCCTTTTTTATTATTTTGTTTTTTCGTCTCTGTTTCGGTCCCTGATATGTGTAAGAGTGAAGGAAACCGTCTGAGCTGCTCTCCTTTCATAAAACTAGTTCTGAGTTCAGAGGTTGAACATGATCTAAAGCACTCATAAAAAACCACCAAAATACCCCTCTACCCATACCTGACTCAGCACTGAATGACAACAGTTACCATAGGAAGCCATTTTAGACTTGAAAATGGCGAATGGCATCGAAAAACTTGTTCTGAAATGAAATGCCCTTTTCAAAATGGTCTTAGCACGATTGTCAACAATTCGTATTTTTTAAGCAACCAGTTAAAAGAACAAAAATAGCGGAAGCTGCAGAACCCTGCTCGGGAGACGTAATTGGGTGGAAAAGCTGCAAGATCGAAAGTGTGACTTTGAGTATCACACAGAAAGGCCATTCACTAACAAAACCAAAAACAATAGCAAAAATATTTATAGAAACACTCCAGTGAAAGCTTGAAAGGTTAGAATGGTTTTGGACTTTTCAAAACAAACAAAAATCCCGAAAAAGCCCACCAAGAGGACGTTCTGGGGGAGTTTTACGACAAGGCGGCTATGTATGGATAGGTAACAGAGACACTGTAAACAGGAAATTGCAAATGCAACAAACAAATTGATGCTAGACAAATATTGATCATAAGTAAACAGAAAACAATTATTTATGAGTCATCCAACTCCAATTTTCCCCTTTTCCCCTCTATTCCCTGAATGGCAGAGGCGTGGTCACATTAGAGGGAGGCAATTGAAGGGGACGCATTGATCATGAAAATTACGGACTATTCAAGGTTGGAAGTCATGCCTCCGAGTGCGCCGTGTCTCTAACTCCCAACCCCTCGGTTTCTGGCGATTCCCTGGGGAAACGTCGTGGTTTCTATTTTGATCGATCGATTGATTCATAACATGTTTGCATTTTGTAGCTGCAAGCCTTTAGTCAACACACAGACCGACACAGTCTCCGTCGTCGCTACGTTCCATTTGCTGTCGACAGTGTTACGAATGTTCTTTTGAGTGCCAATTCCTTCTAGAATTCTCTCAGACTTTCTGTCTAGCTACTGAAGTCTTCCATCCATCAGTTTTCTCACATGCCGGTATTATCTATGAAGTTTTTTTTGCTAATTTTATATTAAATTCCCTCGATTAATAGGTGGTCCAATAATATTACGCTTCAATAACATCGTGAATTGAACTTTATAAATTATTATACTAGTATAATATTGTTTTATTTTATATTTTATCTATGTATATATTTTTTCGCTATCTATTTTTGATTTAATTGAATTCATATTTATTTATTTACGTATTTATTCGATTTTTATTCTTGACTCAATGACATGAAAAATAAAGAAACGTAATAAAATAAAAGTACAATCATATAAGGGCAATATAAAGTATTTACTACAAGCAAGTTATTATAATTTAATAATCCGAGCACTGTAATGTATGACTAATATATTATGCGATTTCAACTTTAGAATTTTATTTCGAATGAATAGAACCTGATAAAACTATATGATTGATACTAATAAATGAATAATTGATTGTAATTTTTGAATTTGAATGCAGCAAAAAGGTACCTGCTCGATTTCAATTATGTCTTCTGAGTTTTACTATAATGTCTGGCAGATTCAGAAAGTAGTACAGCCTTCCAATGCTGATGAATTCGATCTCTCGCTCTCGATTCAGCCAGTTTTTCAGAAATGGGCCATGTACTCTGATTCACCCCCGTATCGTTTCGGTATTTGAAACCTGCTTGACCTTGACTATGACTCGTAGTGGTCTGTAATGCACAACTTCGATCCTTCTAAACGAGTTTGTAACTAATTGGTCACTTGTAGGAAGACTGTGGAGACTTTTGTTCACCATCTGCTTGATGGTCTGGGTGGGAATCAACCAGTGACCTGAATACGAAGAGAATCACCGCATTCAAATGCTTCTTTCAGACCTTATTAGTTTGATTAGTTCTGGAACAGTCCTACAGAGTCAGGAATTTTTCTAACTTCTCAGGACCTTATGGGTTTTCAAATGTCTGCTTGAATAGGCTTCTACTTCTCTTTCTTGTTCTTAAAAATTACCCACACTACCTAAATCAAGCGATAGCAAATTTTACGACATTCCTTCTGAGCTTCCCTCCGATCGTTTGATTTGAGCGATCTGTAAAAAGTCCATTCTAAAATGGTTAATGATGTCTATAAGCTCTTGGGGTTTTTGTCATGGAATGCTCGTTTCCTGTCATTGCTGTCCTGGAAATGGAGGTTTACGAATAGGCCAATTCGAGACAAAATCGTTTCCTTTGGGAAAACAAAAAACTTAGAAGTTCGAATATCAAAAGATTGGTTCTGGTTGAGAATGGAGCGAGGCATTACTTGTTACGCCTAGGGATTAAACCTAACCCCATGGCCCATTTTTGTAAAAATTTTCAGTGAAATTAGAAATTTATTGGAATTTTTAATGGTACTAGCGTTTATTGCCCAGCGATATATTTCACTTGTGGGAGCTGCTC